GGATAAGCTGGCAGTAGCAAGCTTTTAGAATACTGCAAGGGAAATTGAAGTTCATGGCTGTTGTAAGTGATTTTGTTATTTATACATAAAATTGTATGAGTAGAGATATAATGCATTCTTTAATGTCATATTATAGAGTTCTATATGGATAAAATTCTTTTGTATAACAATAGCTACATAATAAAAATGGATTAATGATAAGAAACAAAAGGTTTGATTGCACCCCTCCCATATTTTATTAATAATTATAATTAATAATTATTCATTATTGACTCTTAATCTTTATAAAGGGAGGAGCACAAACAAACCCAGATGCAAACCCACGATAGCCTTTTCAAAAAATGTCCTTCTTAAGGAAAGCTATGTCACAATGTTGTCATAATTGTAATTGAGAAATAATAATTCAAAATTTTTGGAGGGCACATTGCCCATTTTCTCATTCAAGTGATACAATATATTAAAATTGTTATACACAGATGGTGGCGAGGGTATGCACTTTAGTGCTCTCGTTCATTCATTCTGTACAACTGAAATTTGTTTTTAATAAACAATAACTTTAGCACAGCGTGTTCTAAGCTCCTAGATCTTTCTTTTTGACGTGGAAAAGTCTTTCTTAACTGTTTTGTGTTGCTCAAATACAAGTGCTAGGTACAGAAGCTTCAAAGTAAGAAAATCGAGTAGTTGGGCCAAGTTCCGTTGTGTTGGCACTTTAGAGATAGCTGGTAGCATTTTTCAGTAGATTAGAACATAGCCTTCAAAAATTATGAACAGATTTTTCTAAATCTTACTTGATGAAGAGTTATACTTACTTAAAATTGTTGAGGTCACTCGTTTGTGCAGCGCTAGAGCAACAACTTGCTGGGTTATAGGTACTAAAGTACCTATACTATCTCAAATATACAAAGGCAGCAACTTTTTTGTCAGCAAGTTTATCATATATTGCTGATTAGTAAAGAAAAAATGAAGCTTCTTTCTCACATGGTCTTCTTGCTGCCACTCATTCCAGTCATGGAATGCCACACCTTTCAATCTACATGCATGGGAGGGGCTGGAGCTGCTTGCATGTATGTGCTGCAGTGCTGCTACTTCTGCAGGTATTCAAGAGCAAGTGCAACTGTAGGAAGCTAGTGTTGAGCAGACTCTCTTCATGCTGATAATCAAACAGTTATTGAAGTGCGGGCATGCACCATAGCAGCTATAGGGGCGAGGCCATGCACCGTAGGTGTCTCGTCATTAGGAAGAACTTTCTTACACTACAATATTAAAGAAGGGGATACACTCCACCTCGTACCACGTCATGCTCATCACATGGTATTTATTAAAACAGCAACTGGTAACACTATCACTCTTAAAGTTGATCCAAATGATACTATTGAGAACATTAAATCACAAATACAAGCTAAGAAAATGATTCCAATTGATCAACAGAAACTGATCACTCGCTATCGTAAGCAATTAGATAATTCTCTAACACTATCAGATTATAATATTGAAGATAAAGCTATTCTGTATCTTACCCATTACCTTAGAAGTGGCACAGATATTTATATCAGAACTTTTAGTGGTAAAATGGTGGTTTTTGAAGTCCTACCTACAGATACTGTTAGTTATTTAAAGAAAATGATTAGAGATAAAGAAGGAATCTCATCAAATGATCAAACTTTGTTTTATGCTGGTCAACAACTTGATGATGCCTCAACTTTAGCAAATTATGATATTCCAATGGAAAGCATGTTACAACTTGTAACTCGTTTTTGCCCTAATATGACAATATTTGCTAAAACTTTGAGTGGTAAGACGATAAAACTTAACGTTAATTTTTCTGATACAGTTAGTGATATAAAAAGAAAGATAGAAGAAATGGAAGGTATACCATGTCATGAACAGAAGATAATATTTGGTCAGAGGCTACTGGGAGAAGATTACATTGAAGAAGCACTTTCACCTGGTAAAATTAAAACACTTCTTGATCATAATGTTAAAGATGGAAGCATATTGCACTTGATATTTCCCTCAAGAGCTAGTGGTGTAATTGTTAAATTTCCAGCTGGTAAAATAATTATGCTTGATACTGAACCTTCTGATACTATTGAGAATGTTAAAGCAAAGATAAAAGATAAAGAAGGAATCCCACCTGATCAGCAGAGACTCATATTTGCTTTTAGAAGATTAGAAGATGGTCGTACACTGTCAGATTATAACATTCAAAATAAAGATACAATACATTTACTTCTTCATCGCTTTGGTACATCTATGAAAGTATTTGTAAAAGCTTTTACTGGTAACATGATTACTTTACAAGTTGAACCTTCTTTTACTATTGAGAGTGTTAAGTATATGATTCTGGATGAAGAAGGAGTCCCACTTCATCTGCAAGAACTTTTATTTGCTGGTAAGCAATTGGACAATGGTCATCAGCTCTCACATTATAATATAAAGAATGAAAATACATTAGATTTACAATTTATTCCTGTTGGACAGATGCAAAGCCAAAGTATGACTTTTAATTTTTTTTATTCATTATTATGATTATATTAGGTATTGAACCAGAACCATTGAGTCACTACAGATTGTTCACCTTTTATGAACATACTCCAGCCACAAAAATATGGAATATACACTTTGTTGTTACAAAGAACAATACCTCTCACATTGAAGTATGTATAAATTTACTATTTTCTCACAATAGTTATTCTACTAATTACATGCATGTATGTATACTGACTATTTTATTTGTAGAAAGCAGTATCTGAGATGAGTGCTACAAGGTCATATAGTAGAGGGGATCCGGAAACTGTGTTCTCATTTGACGATAAAAAAGAAATTGTTTTTGATATTGAATCATCCATTATTAATGGATGGAAACTTTTACCATTCCTAACACCTTGCAAAGTAAATAAGCATAACATTACTGCTTTGTTTATTTATTGCTGTTTATTAGGTGCATAAAGCTGATGTTGATTATCACTCTGATGTTGGAGGTATTAGTAAGATAACTTTGCGTGTTGAAGGTCCACCCGATTCTGATAGTTTTACTCATTGCATTTCTATTACTGGTACAAAAGATCCATCATTATCTATTGCAATTAGTAAGTTTATATCTTCATCTCTCTTGCTTATAATTCTCTCTCTAGTGTGTTCAGATCCTTCATTGCTATCTCCTATAAATCTAGTAAGGGAAGATAATGGTAAGCTAATTATTCTAACATAATATCTCTTCTAACTTATTATTATAACAGAACCTCCTCCAGCTGTTGATCCCAGCATTAGGAAGCTATTGGAGGAAGTTGCTGCTAGAGCTCCCAATGAATGGATAAAAATTGGCACAATGCTAGACATTGATCAACACGTGTTAGATGGTATCAAATCTCAATTTAATGGTAATTTAATGGAATGTTATCGTGCTGTTTTTAATAAATGGAAAGCTACTACTCCACGTCCTTATAATTGGGCTACTATTGTAGAAATTTTAGAATCACAAGTAGTTCAAAGAAATGACCTGGCAGTTGAAATTAAAAGAAAATACTTAAGACTATAATTTTGTAATAATTAGTGACTTGCCTTAATAATATTAAGAATTTTTGTACTTTAATAATAAAATAATGTCTGTGAAAACTATTAATTAATGTGTGTCATATGCTTCAGTTATTTTGATTAGAATGTTATTCTGATTATAATGTATTTAAAGCCATTTTTGATTGTTGTCTTGATCAGCCTCCTTATTTGTTTGTGACCACTTTAAGGGATATTCCATTAGATGGCGACTGTGTAAGCCGGCTTGACAGAAATTTCCCAAGGAACCTGAAATGATCAGCAACAAGTATAAATCAGAAATGATCAGTTGCCTGTGTGTCCGGTTCTCTCTCGAACTTGTATTTCCTCAATAAAGTCATTAGACACATTTTAGTTTCCATCAATGCAAACCTCATACCAACACAATTACGAGGACCAGCACCAAATGGCATTATAACACATAGGATGACGTGACTCCTCATCAGGACTAAACCTGTCATTATAAAGACACAACTCATCCAGTATATGCATATACTGGACTCAAACCTTTCTGGTCTAAAGAACTCAGGCTGCTCCCAATGTTCAACTGACCGATGGAGCATTTGAATAGGAATTAGTATCCCACATCCTCCTGGTAATAATAATACACTAGTATAATACATATTACTTTATGTTGTTATCAATTTTTTGAATCAGCTTCTCTTGTTTCTCAGGGTTCATTGCTAAAAGATATGATGTGAAAGCTAATACATTATAGTTGTCTTATATCCAGCTAATAAGCCAATCCAAAATATCTCTTTTAATATATCAGGATCAAGGACATAAACCACAGGCTCAGAACCAAAGTAATACCTATGCAAGTTAATTTCATGACTATTAAGTCATGAAATTAAATCATAGCAATGCATCATGAAATGTGATCTATGCTAAAACTTATTAACCTCTCCAACTTGAGATGTTGACTAGATTAATTGTCAAATTTTTTTGATGTGCACACTTAATTTTGTAATTATTATTTCATAATACGTTTTTGTATTTAATGTCATACTAATCATTTAATTCAATATAAAATAAGAGTTGGGAGCTACATTTACTTTAGCTTTTGATATAGCCATGCTGAATCACATGAAACTTGTAAGTGACATATCTTATTATCATGCATGAATCCATTTGTTGTTCATTTGTCATGATTTGTGTTTCTATCACTCCTGCAATAGATACAATATCAAAAGTCAAACAGTTTACAGTTGCTAATTGCTAATTCAAATAGATAATGAAACTAATTTACAAAGGAAATATTGGACAATGTTACTATTGTACTGTTATTGTTAGAATCTAGCATATTTATAAATTATTGCCTGATACGTGACTTTCTATCTTTCTCAGTTATCTCTCAAAGTAAAAATTAAAAATATTCAAAAAGTAGTTATTGCTGTAAGATACTTTATTTTAAAAAACTGTTGGATGGTTACCATTATATTCACTAAAATAGTGACTATATATAATGATGCAATAACAGATCTAATAGTCCTGAGGAAACTTTCTTTGTTGCCAATGTTCATTTTCTTGTTCCATGTATTTTTGATAATGATCATCAACTATCTGAACAATGTTGATTTCATTCTCTCTCACGCGATACTTGTAACGTTTGGCCAGTATCAGAAATATTATCAGTATAAGCAACTGGAGGACACATGCTATTATGTAGTAGTACCATTTTTTTATTGAAGTTAGTAATATTTTTGAAATAGCAGATCCAAATCCCATTGATGAATAACACAATCCAACCATCAACCCTCTCATATGTTCTGGAGACTGTGCCACTGTAAACTCAAATGAAGTAGGAAAAAGAAGGAAAAATGAAATTCCAAATATTACTTGTTCAATTATTATTAATAAGTTATGATATGACTGAAATTTCTCAGTCAACAAATGAAGGATGCAAGTGGATAAAGAAAAGAAAAGCCCAGCACCCATTCTGGAAAGCATACTGGGTATATACCTGTGGAAAAAACCACGAATGATGAACAGATAAATTAGGAATAAGAGCAGAACAGTGATGTGATAAGCGCCAAAACTTTTTAGCACTTTATAGTAGTTTGAGGACTTTTCAAAGAAACTGTCTTCAGCCAATGCATATCCAAATGTAGCAATGAATAAGGGTAATATACGAAAGAAAGTCTTCACATCTTCTACCTCTTCCTCTGTAAATGGTCCACCATACTTATCCTTACCCAGGTCTATTCTTGAAGGAGCCTCTTCCTCCCAGTAGGTCAGAGCACTACGATTCTCAGGATACTTGTGCTTCCTGGTATAACACAATACTCTGAATATCAGTTTGATGGGATTCTTGATCAGTGATATATTCTCCAGCTTGTGTTTAAAAAATGAATGAGATACCAGTATAAGAGACAGTGCTACTCCTGATGCCATAATAAATAGCAACTCTTCAGTAACAGTGTCAAGTGATGATAACCAATCACTTAAAGCAGTTGCAGTTGGATAAGCAGCAATATTCCAGTATATTACAGTACTCAGTTCGTTAGCTGATGCTCCAATTAACTGATCAATATTGTATTGAATAATATTGGCAAGAAAACTTACAAAGCCAGTATATTGAAGAAGGGCTAAAACAATCCACAGTGCTTTGAGTAATCTGTTATAATTATTGAGTATAATTGTAATTCCAAGTATAATCCATGATATAAAACAGAGTATGACACCAATCATTATTGCTCTGTATCTTCCTATGTATACATCAGTTAATAAACCAAGGAGAGAGAAAAAAATGTAAGAAACTAAATGAACATATTGTAACTGATGTAAAGGGCCTTCAGAAAATAAGTATCTAGTCAAATGATACTGAATAGCCATCAAATAGTTCCACATAAGCACCATAATAGCAGAAAATGACACTATAGGAGCTACATACACTCTAGCCTTTGATAAAGCCATATTTAACTGAACAATGTCACCTATAACTCTATGTTTTATATGCTAAGGTGCAATAAAACAGTTTATATCAAACTCATGAAAATGAAAATGAGAATCATGCAATAATTGTAAACAATGGAGATAAATGGCATGAACTATCAATACCCGCCCACCAAATACCTTTTTTGTAACTACAGTGTCCTATATGTAGCTATAGTAGCACCAAGAGTACATGATGGGTGGTAGCACTAAACTCACCAAAATTAAAATGAGAATCATGCAATAATTGTAAACAATGGAGCTGAATGGAATATCCACCCACCAAATACTTTTTTTGCAACTTCAGTGTCCTATATGTAGCACTGGAAAAGTTTTCTGTTTAATTTATTCTTAAATACTAGCTTTAGAAGAGCTTTGGCCAAAATTACACAAGGTATACTATTTCAACATCATCTTATGAATTATGATCTCTTAGATGTGTCATACCCTAGGATATTAATCAATCTTATTAGATAAAGCCTAGATCTAGCTATACAAAAAATTCTAATTCATAGCCAAGTTTTTATAAATTTTAAAAAGTTCATTGCAGTAGCACTTTTAGAAATATTCCATCAGCTGGTGACTGTGTAACGCCAATACGAGTTTTTAATGGAACCTAAAATTAATAAAAATAATAATACAGAACAATCCTCTACTTCTGTTACTTGTGTGTCTGGTGCTCTCTCAAACTTGTATTTCCTCAATAAATTCATCAGACACATTTTAGCTTCCATCAATGCAAACCTCATACCAATACAATTACGAGGACCAGCACCAAATGGCATATAACACATTGGATGATGTGACTCCTTCTCATTAGGACTAAACCTATCATCATAAAGACTCAACTCATCCAGTATATGCATATACTGGACTCAAACCTTTCTGGTCTAAAGAGCTCAGGCTGTTCCCAATGTTCAACTGACTGATGGAGGACCTGAATGGGTATCACGATGTAACAACCAGCAGGTATAGTGACTCCATTGATTGTACAAGTGTTTTCACATATTCTGAAAGTCCTAGTTATATGAGTAATTATAAACTCAAGTAGGTGTATAGCTGCACCTTGGTGCAGGTGGATATACCCTCAGTGACTCATGTAATACCCAGTCTAAATACTCCACACTGTGTGCAGCATCATACAAAGAAGACTCCTGCATAATATATAAATAGTAGGAACAATACAACCAATTACTTTATGATCTTGATAATATTTATCAATTTCTTGAATCAGTTTCTCTTGTTTATCAGGGTTCATTGCTAGAAGATATGCTGTAAAGGCCAGTAGGTTACTGGTTGTCTCATATCCAGCTAATAAAAACGTTGTACAGAGAGCTATTATTTCATCATCTGTCAACTGCTTGGAACCAGGTCCTAATTCCCCAGTATCATCATCTGCTCTAGCTTCCATTAAAAGCTGAAGAAAGTCAACATTCTGTAATTAAATTATGGGATTATATTGCCTTTTTATAGAATAAAAATTTCTGACTTTATTTTCAGATGCTTCAGATGACTGTTGCCTTCTCTGTTCAATCACTTCCATCGCAACACTTTTAAGAGTTGCAAAATCCTGAGTTATCTTCGATCCATTTGAAAAAAACAACTCAAACAATTTTTCTGAGAAAGGAATTTGGGCTGAAAAATAAATTGCAATAAATTAGCAATTTAATACACATTTGCATACAGCATAATAATTCACTCAATCCTGTAATGGCAGTGCCAGAGAATATCCCTGCAGCAGCTTCAGTTAAAGAGTTTCCTTCTCCTTTAAGAATATTCACTTGACAACCAAAAGCAGTCGCTAGAATAACCTCCATTGTAAAATGACCAAATATTCTATACATTAAAAATAATGATACACTAATTATTCTAGTTCAATGTTAACCTAAAGAGTTCGGTACTATTGCCTTTAGTACTTATGTCACTAAATACCTCATCCAATGTGTGACAGCTCTTCTCAATAAGAGGAACCATCTACATGTAAGCAGAAGGAATTAGATGAAGTTATACACTTCTTTTCCTTGTTAGTGTGTCACTTACCATTCTCATTTTCTTAGCTGAAAATGTAGGGCTAGTTATTGGCCTTACCCTCTTCCAATTTTTCTTATCCATGTGTACAAGGCCAGTAGCAACATTGGCCTTTTTTCTTAACACATACATGAAGCCAGAGTCCCCTTTCTATGAATGACAAAATAAAGCCTACCGGGTATTTACACTAGCAATTAACAATTAAACATTAGTGGGCTCCATTAATTTCATGAATTTTTAAAGCTGTTCTGAAATTGAGCAAAAGTCCCTGTCACTGTAAGGGCCTTTGACCAAAAATGGCTAGGTGAGATTTCTCCATTTTATATTTTTTTCTGATACATACATGTTCTGAAGTTGTATATGTAGTTTGAGCTGCAAAATTAACTCATTGTTTAGCATGCTTTATAGGAACCCAGCTGGTGACAATCTTCTAAACCGTAAATTTTCCATTTTAAAAAGTAAGCCATGTTTCTGTTTGGTACCAAAACATAGTATTTGTTAGTCCATTTTTACAAAAGAAGTGTAATTAAATGTCTAATTGTAATTCAGGTTTTTTTAATTAACGCCAGGTCTGGCCATAGAAAAATATGAATACTTACTCTTCTCTCAGTAAAGTTATCAAACTGTTTAATTGTGATTTCTTTCAACATATCAAGATCAAGAATGGCAACAACAGCCCTGGCACCAAAGTAATACCTACATATAATCATAATATAATTACAGGAAATGAACTAGAGAGCATAGAAGGAAAGTCCCGAGGGAATTCCAAGACAACAGCTGGCACCCCATAAAATCCAACAAACAGACAGTAAATGACAAGTATAACAATTAAGGTTGGTTTAAAATATGACGCTAGGCCAGCATAAAGTCAATTTTTAATTAAAAGTGTGGGTGATTTGACTTTTTGTTGAACCAAATCCTATTCCAGCATCAACGTAACGTCAGGACTAGCGTAAATATTGTAAACCTGCCTTTAATTGTATCAAAGAATGACTGATGAATATTTTAGCTGTCTATTAAACGAGTTATTTGGGGATCTACTTACCCAAATACTTTGCCATGTATTTTCATCCATTTCTCTATTGCAACTGTGTCAGTCTATCATGCAAGGAAAAACATAATTTCTTAGTCTTACTGCCTTGGTAGCCTTACCAGCTTAAATATGTCCAAACTGTTTCCAAAGAAAGGTACAGTTGGAGGAGAAGTCAAACCAACCTTCTTAAACACTTGATACGGGGCATAAGCAAACCTATGATGAAACACAACCTGAATAACACAAAATGGCTCGCAATTGATGAGCCTTACTTGTACCAAAGGATAAGAACTAAGAGCAGGACCCCTCCAAAAATATAAGCAAAGAGCATCTTTCACTTTAGATTGCCTAATTGCTTATCATCACGTGAACAGAGATGTCTAATTTTGATATTAATTTTGTAAAAATAATTGTGCTTGTATTAATATTTCCCTTTTAATATCAAATTCTACATGACATAAAAGTATCAATTCATAATAAGTATAAATCCTCAACTGATCTCCCACTGTGATGACAAGAGCTCTGGAAGCTAATTAAAAAATATATCTAATTCATAGCTGAGTTTATTTAAATTTTAAAAAGTTCATTTCAGTAGCACTTTTAGAAATATTCCATCAGCTGGTGACTGTGTAATACCAATACGAGTTTTTAACGGAACCTAAAATTAAAGAAAATAATAATACAGAGCAACCCTCTGCTTCTGTTACTTGTGTGTCTGGTGCTCTCTCAAACTTGTATTTCTTCAATAAGTTCATTAGACACATTTTAGCTTCCATCAATGCAAACCTCATACCAATACAATTACGAGGACCAGCACCAAATGGCATATAACACATAGGATGACGTGACTCCTTCTCATCAGGACTAAACCTATCATCATAAAGACCCAACTCATCCAGTATATGCATATACTGGACTCAAACCTTTCTGGTCTAAAGAGCTCAGGCTGTTCCCAATGTTCAACTGATTGATGGAGGACCTGAATGGGTATCATGATAGAACAACCAGCAGGTATAGTGACTC